GGGTGATGGCAAAGCTCCCGAGCCTTGACGGCTCCGTGACCGAGCCCTGACGGCTCCGTGACCGATCCCGAACCGGCTCCGTGACCGAACCCGACCCAGCCCCGGCACCCGCGGCCCGAGCGCCCCTCACAGCACCGGCGGCGGCCGCCACGCAACTCTCGCGAGAGCAGCGCCGCTCCTGCTGCGGCGGCTGCGCGGGGCGGGGCTCTCGCGAGAGCGGCGGGGCCGTTTCCCGGGCGACGCGGGCGGGGCCGCCATGATGGCGGCGGCGGTGGCGCGGCGGGGGCGGCTGGGCCGGGAGGGCCGCGCCAGCCTTTGCTCCTTCCTGCTCGGCGCCTCGGTGGCGGCCCTGCCGCTGCTGCTCGGCTCGTCGCCCTCCCTGCTGGCCGCTCCCGGTCTGCGCGGCCGCCTGGCTCTCGCCCTGCACGTGGCGGGCGTGAACGCGGCGCTGCTGCTCGTCTACCCGCGACCGCTCTACAAGGTACGGGGGCGGCCCCGGCGGGCGGCGGCGTGAGGTGCGGCGGTGCAGGGGTCGGTGCCGGTGCCGGGGTGCGGCGGTGGGGATGCCCCGGGCCCGGGGAGCGGCGGCGGCAGCGCGTTCTCCCCTCCCTGTGCTTGCAGATCGCCGTCCGGGCCTGTTTCTTGGGCTTCGCCTTCGGCTGCGGGCTGCTGCTGAGCGCCGGCCGCTCCGCCTGGCGCCACTTCGGATGGTAAGGGCCGGGCCGGGCCGGCAGCCGGGCGGGCGCCGTGCCCCCGGCCCTACTGAGCCTGCCCTCCCTCCCGCCGCAGGTATATGTGCTCCCTGTCCCTCTTTCACTACTCGGAGTATCTGGTGACTGCCATCAACAACCCGCGCAGCCTCTCGCTGGACTCCTTCCTGCTCAACCACAGCTTCGAGTACAACCTGGCTGCCCTGTCCTCCTGGGTGGAGTTCACGCTGGAGAAGCTCTTCTTCCCAGGTCGGCCAGCCTGTCTCTCTCTGACTCTGCCTGGCTGCACGTGGCTTGCTTGGGGTCCATCTGTCTGGTGGCAGAGTGCAGGTGACCCTCAGCTCGCTGCCCCGTGACAGCCCTGCAGCAGCTTTGCCAGGGTCATAATCCCTCAGTGCTCAAAGCTTCTTGGGTTGGATCTCAGGAGGGCAGGGGGAGGCCCCCCTCACTCTGACATGCCAGGCCAGGGGATCTTCAGCCCTTTCCTGCCTTGGTGGTGCTAGACTGATGTGTCAGGTACACCTGGGCATCACCTTTTGACAGGAATAAAATCAAGTCATCAGAATCTGTTGCTGGTTGCCCGGTCTGGGGCATATTGGCTGTGCTCATCTGTTTATTCTTGGGAGAGGGAAACTGTCCCCCTTTGTTTTGTAGCAGCCTGAGCATGTCCTTGGCTGTGCTTTGTGTTGGCTTTGCTCTGCCTCTACAGCTGGGCCCCACGGACTAATCCATGCTAACAGCAAGCAGGGGTTGCTGGTTTTGTCTGTTTGGTGAGGGATGGCATGGTTTTTTTCTTTGAGATGGGGGGCAGAGCCCACTCACTGAGCAGCCCCCTGGAGACCTGTGCAAACCTGTTGTGCCCCTCCCTGTCCGTGCAGAGCTGAAGCAGATCACCTGGCTGAGCACCGTGGGGCTGCTGATGGTGATCTTTGGGGACTGCCTGAGGAAGGCAGCCATGCTCACGGCCGGCTCCAACTTCAACCACATCGTTCAGAACGAGAAGTCTGACACCCACACGTTGGTGACGAGTGGGGTGTACGGGTGGTTCCGGCACCCCTCCTACGTGGGATGGTTTTACTGGAGTATTGGAACACAGGTACTGTATCCAGAGTGCTCAGATCCTTTCCTGTCACAACTCCACTCTGCTCTTAGTGCTGCCCGTGCTGTGATGGGGTGCAGACAGCACCTGCTGCTGGGCATGGATTCTGCTGCCTCCCACTGGCACACGGGAAATCTGGAATCCCTGAGCGCTCTGCCTCATGTGATCTTTGGGAAGATCTTGTTCCCTTAATTTTCTCTGTGCAGTAAGGAAAGGTGGTGGAGCCGGGGTTTTGACCCACAACTCCCTTGCAGGCTTGAGGTGTGATTTGCTGCTGGTTTGAAGCTGGTATGCAGAGTTTTCTGTGTCCATGTGGTCAAAATGCCTTCCCTGAGTGGTCAGACTCAACCTGGCTCCTGCCAAACGCCAGTCCTGTGTTTGAGGGCAAGGAAACTCCCTGACTAGAGGGTCAGCTGTGGCCTAGCCTTAGCTAAGTGCTGCTGTAGCTGTGTGTTCTTGTGGCTGGCTGGGTGCTGGAACTGGGTTGTGTTTCTCTGCAGAGTCCATAAGGGTGGCACATGGAGCTTTTGAGAACTGGGGCAGTGAAGCCAGTGCTGCCTGTGCGCTGCTTTCTTCAGTGGGGAGAAACTAGTGCTTGTGAGGTTTCACAGGGAGTTTTGGGGTCTTTTTCTGTGTCAATGTTACTGGAGGGGGATGAGCTGTGGGGGAGGGTTCTCGAGGGGATGCTCACCAGCAGCATCTGTTCCAGGTGTTGCTCTGCAATCCCATCTGCGTGGTGGGCTACGCCCTGGCGTCCTGGCGCTTCTTCAGGGAGCGGATCGAGGAGGAGGAGATCACACTCATTCACTTCTTTGGAGAAGAGTACCTGGAGTACAAAAGGAAGGTGCCATCGGGTCTCCCTTTTATTAAAGGAGTCAAATTGGAACTGTAACGTGGGCAGAAACCAGGCTGGCTGAGCAGACGCCCGGCTCCTGCTGCGCCCAGTGCCTGTGTGGCACCGGCATCGGGAGATGCCTGCTGGTATTTCCCAGCCACCCAGGAGGAGCTGGTGGAGGGCTGCAGCATTGGGCAGCCTGCTGGGTCACTCACAGATCAGAAGCTCGTTCCTCCTCCTTGAGATCAGTCCTTCGTTGCACATTCAGGGATCTTCCAGATAACTTAGCCTGTAGCGACCCTAAAGAGAATGAATCCTGCCTGCAGCAGCTGAATTGTCTTGGAACGCCTCTGGAACTGATTCTACCGGAAAACAGCACTGCCCTCCTGGCCCTGGGTGGGGAAGGTGCTAGGCAGCAGATTGTTCCTGTTGCATAATTCGATTTTAAAGCTTTCTGACCTCATGAGCCCGGTGACACGACTTTAATCTCCTCGGGCCAAACTCCTTGAGCTGGCACTGGGGCAGCTGTGGGAGCAGCCTCCAGCTCTGCCTGCCCTCAAAGCGCAGCACGGCACCACTCAGTTCTCCCTAGGCCTTGGGGTCTGCAGGGAGGGTTCTGTTGCTCCCCTCGTGCCGCTGGATCTGAGCACCTCTGGGCCCTCTCCTCGTCCCTTGGATGCTGCTGTGGATGCAGTGTCACTGCTCCAGCTGCTGCCTCCTGCTGCCACCTCTGTTCCTTCTTTCTGCTTCCAAATCGCGCTGCTTCCTATCCTGCCAGGCTGCCTGTCTTGCAGAGATCCCAGGATTTTAGGTTGTGAAAGAGCCACAGCTGCCAGGCTTGCTAAGGGCTTTAGTCCCTGAGGTCCTCCCCTGCTCTTTTGGGCAAAAGCTGTGATGTTAGGGCAAGTAGGAGATGCTTCTAAGGAAATCTCCAACCAGAAGAGTTGGGCTAGCTAATGCTCTTTTATAGTAACCATTTGGAAATGGTTCCCACTGAGCTGTGTGGTATAACTTTGTTGTTATATACCAAAGAGGTTCACTGTTTTCTTGAGTTCTACATTATTCTTCCTTGCTGGAATGGAAATGAGTTGCTTGTCAGTTCATGCTTGGAGCTTGTGGTGTTCCATGGGGAAGGTGCTGCGGTACAGCTCAGGAAGGGGCACTTGGTGAGAATAGCTTGGGTTTGGTTTTCTTTTTTTATATTTAAAAAAAAAAAAAGGAAAAGAGAAAACATTGTCAGCTTCTGTCTGGTTATTTGAAGGTCTCTTGAGGTGCTGGTGGCCTCATGGAAACTGGAATCCTTTATAATTCCTGGTGGGTTCTCAGAACATGCCAGCACTGCATTGAGGCACAATTGTGACTCCATGACTTGTGGGGCTCTGCAGCCACAGGGATGAGGCTGACCCTAACCCTGACCCTCTGTTTCTCCTTGCTGAACTGATGCAGAGTCCATCCTCCACTGGGTTTGCTTGATCACAGAGCATCTGTCTGATGCCCTTGCTGCTGACTTGACCTTTGCTGAGTGAGGTTTTGACTTGGGAGAAAAGAATAAGGGTGAAAACTCACCACTTGGAGCGTGCTGATCTGTGCTGGGCACTCGGAGGCTCCCACCTGGGCTGTTCTTGTCTCAGGGAAGCACTGGTTGCAGCCAGTGGTGCCTGGAGCAGGTTAATCTGTAATTAATCTGTAATCTACAATTTTTTTGTAGGCAGTAATGTTCCTGCTGTGCCCTTTATCAAAGGAACTTTGGAACAAGTAATTGTAACTTGGGTTTGATGTGCTGTTTGACAACAAAGCCTCATCCCAAATTGTTCTTCATAGTAAATGAACCTTGATCCTAATTTCACAAGTGCTGGTTCCAGCTGTGCAAGCAGGATGTATTGGCACCAAAAGAAAGGGATAAACTTCACCCTGAGCAAAACCTTCAGTGTCTCTTGAAGCTTTTGAGACCAACAGCTTCTCTTAACCATTTCTTTCCCAAATCCTGTGATCAGAAGCTCTGTGAGGAGACAGCAGCTTACTGGGTGTGGGAAAGGCATGTGAAGTTTTAGGGAAAAGCTGGAGTAAACTGTGAAACCCTGCTCTCTGTGCCACAGTGATTGGTGAGTTCTTAGTTCCCACATGTGCAGGGAACCTCTAGAGCAGCTGTTCCTGGCACACAGCCCATGTTGATGTGTAGCTGCCTGGAACTCCACAGGATGCCCCATCACCTGGCCATGTACCCCTGGCCCTGCCCTGCCCTGCACCAGGAGTTATTTTTCCCCATAATTTTCCAGTGTTGTGGTTTTAGGAGCAGCTGGACACCCTGGACACCCTGAGCCAGCAGATCCCTTTTGTCAGCAGAACCACGCAGACATGGACAACTGCACCCTTTTATTTCACTCTGACACATGCAAGGAAGAGCACATAGAGAGTTTTTCAGAAGCAAGTCCACCTGAGGCCTTTGTTTGTGCTGCAGACACGGCTGCCCGGGCTGTTTGCTGCCCTGGCTTGTGGCACTGGGCAAGAGGAGCTGGTCAGTGACTGGGGCATGGTTCTGCCCAGCAGCTCTGCCAGGTGCCCAGCACTGGGCTCTATGGTGCTGGCTCTTTCAGGGCAGCAGTCTCTGCTCCACTCTTCTGCTGGCCCCTGCAGCAGTCTTTGTTTTTTGGGGAGGAGTCTCCAGGGGTGTCCCTGGCTATGAAGCCCTCCCCAGGGCTGGCTGAAGCCCCCTTGTTGCTGCCAGGTGAGGCATCCCTGGGGAAGGGAAGACACCTTGACAGGGTCACTGTCTGGGAAAGGGCACAGGAGGAACTTGGCACTCAGGTGCTTGCTGTCACCTACCTTGGCACCACTTCATTGTTGTCACAGATCTTGAGCAGCATCTGCTCCTGTTCTTCTCTGGGCTCCTGGGGCTCCTGCAGCCTGCGGCAGGATGGGTGTGAGCCATGAGCTATGTCCCCCCTGGCCCTGAAAGTCCCTGCACCCCTCACCTGGGCTCCAGCCGCTCCTTCACTTTGGCGATGGAGCGGACGTAGGGCGCGATCTGCTTGGTGATGGTGCTCAGGCAGCTGTTCTCCTGCCGCAGCTGCAGCAGGTCGTGGAGCTGGGCTGGGGGCGAGAGGAGCGGGCTGGGACACGGCCACCCCCACGGTGTGGGCACAGGGGGCACGGGGAGGGAGCGTGGGGTCACCAGTACCTTCATAGATCTCCTGCTCGTTTGCTACCCGCTGGTAGGTCTCCTCCCAAACCTGGAAGGAAGAGAGGGAGCTGGGCAGTCTGCGGTGGCACAGCACAGAGGGGCCCTGCTGTGCCAGGATGTGCCAGCTGTACCTCCTCAAAGACGCTGCGCATCATCTCCACGGCGGAGTAGTGAGCTGCGATCTGCACGTCCATCTGCAGCGACTTCTGCAGGATCTCACTCATGATCTCCGACTTGATGAGGGAGTGGTGCTTGGTGAGGTCACGGTGCAGCTCCTGCACCTGGTCCTTCAGGCCCTGGATCTCCGTCTGCAGCATCTGCAGGAAGCAGGGGGCACAGCCAGGTGAGCAGCACCAACCTGGCCCGTGCTGTGCTGTCCCATCCTGCCTCCACCCTGCTCCCTACCCGGTAGGTGTTCTCGTAGTTGCGGCAGTGCTCGGCAAAGGGGGTCTCACGGCCCTCAGCCAGCAGCACCTTGGTGCTGATGTACCGGTGCATCGTTGGCTTCTTCACCATGGGGCCCGTGGACATTTTGTCACTGGTGGGGGTGCAGCTGGGCACCATGAGGGTCTTGGAGCATTGGCCACCGGGGAGCCTGCATGGAGAGGTGACAGTGACGTGCTGCAGGTGAGCAGCAGTGGGGGTGAGGTGCCAGGGACCATGCCAGCTCAGTCCCACCACCCCTTGGCTCCAGTGGGACGCACCAGTCCCACACGTCCCTTCCCTCACCCGAGCACAGAGGTTCAGTCAGAGGTGCCTTACGTTGCCCCAAAAATCATATTTCTGTGGGCTGCTCTCCGGATTCCTGCAGTTTTGGAACCAGCTGTGGCAGTGAGAAGCCAGGAGCTGAGCCCGGCACCCTCCAGTTTCTAAAGGGTGGGATACAGCTCACTCTCTCACCGCTGGTATCTCCTGGCCCCTTGGCAGGCACCACTGCCCCTGTGTTTCCCCCAACCCACGGTCTCCCCGTGCTAACCACCACCACCATTGGTCCTACCGTGCAGCGCCGTGCTCCGCCTGCCCGTGTTGGGGCCAGCAGCCCCCAGGAGCTCAGCCACCCTGCAGTGCCAAGCCTGGCTGGGGGCGAGGAGCGGTCCCCATGGGGCGGCAGTGCCCGTTTGTCCTCTCTGTCTGGGAGGGCCTGGCAGGGCGGGTGCTGCCGTGACATCAACAGGCCTAAATATATCCCTGGTGAAGAATGGCCGAGCACTTCTCTGAAATTCTGATAAAAATAGTGGCGGGCAAAGAGGCTGCGGCACCGCGGGCATGTGGGCGAGCAGGAGCTGGCCCAGGTGGAGCACCCGTGGAGAGGGGGCAGAGCCCTCCAGGGAGCATGGCAGGGGCTGGGCTGGGGAACAGAGAGAGGCTTAACCAGGCCCCCAGCTGCCAGCCCTGCTGCTGCCCACCCCTTTGCCACCCACCCCACTTCCCAGAAGTGTCACTTGAAGCCTGTTGTTCATCAGTGCAGCTGTGCCTGTGCTGTCCTGGTACCCCTGCTGAGCTGACAGGCTCAAGGGCAGCAGCAGGGGCAAGGCTGGCACGGCGAGATGCTGATGGGACTGTGCCGTGTGGCACGTGGCAGGGGACACAGCAGCACATGTGCCTTGGGTGCAATCCTAGCACCTCACATGTTTGTGCCAGTGATGCCAGGTCCAATGCCACCAGCGCTGCCCACCACGGAGCGGCGGGGGCTGAGCATCAGGAGGGGCTCCAGGCAGCGGGCAAACTCTGCCCGGTACTCGCTGTTGATCTGGGGGGCAAGAGAGGACAGTAGAGCTGGGCTGGGGCAGAGCTGGCAGCTGGCACTGCCCGCAGGCAGGGCAGGGCTCTACCTTGCTGGTCTGGGCTGGCCGCAGGCGGTGCGGCAGCTTGACGATCCTCTGCAGCCTCTCCATCAGTTGCTGAAAGGCAGCAGTGAAGCATGGTGAGGGGTGCTCAGCACCTTGCCCATGAGTCAGCACCACCACAGGATGCTCTGACCACCCCTGCAGCACTGGCAACACTCACATAGCCCAGGTCCAGGAACTCGGCTTTGTTGGCAGAGCTCAGGAAGGCCGAGCAGGTCACCAGGTGGACCTGTGTGTGTGGAGGGGGTCTGTCACTGCCTGGCTTTGGTGTCAGGATGTCCCTGCCTGCAGTGAGGCCCTACCTGCAGAGTGGGCAGCAGGCAGGCAAGGTGGGCGAGCTGTTCCTTGAATGCCTTCTCCTTTTCCTCATGCTGGCTGCAGCAGAGCAGAGCATGGCACAGCCTTTGCAAGACCCGAGGGAGCCATCCTGCCCCAGGCATCCCAAAACACCTTGGGAAGGGGGGACATCCCTCGGACAGGGCTCAACCCATGGTGCCTCACCTCTGCACAGCTTTCAGGAGTGTCTTTTTCCTCTCGGAGAGCTGCTCCTGCAAATGGCACAGCCGTCCTGTGTCCAGCAGCCACCCCAGTCCCTTCCCACTGCCCTGGCTCTGTGCCACGGGCACAGGTGCCTGCCTCACACCTGCATGCGGCTGAAGAGGGAGTTGATGGCCGCCTCCTCCTCGCTGGCACTGTTGCGAACCTCCTCGATCATGGCCTTGAGCAGGACAATGGCCTCACGCGTGGAGGTCTGCAGCTCCTTCACAGCCTGCCCAGGGTGGCGAGGTGGCTGCAGTGCAGGGGACAGCACTGCCCCCCTCGCCACCCCCACACCCCCCGGCCCTGCCCACCATCACTGCCTGGTCCAGCCGCTGGCAGCCCTGCATGTAGGCGGTCTCGATGTCGATGCAGTGTGCCCGGCTCTCCCTGCAGGCACAGACATGGGGGCAAGCACAGGATGGGGCACACGGCGAGCCCGGGGCTGGGACTACTCACCCCTGCATGTCCCTGAAGCAGTTGATGCACAGCATGGACTTCTTCTCGGTGGAGAACATGATGTAGGGCTCCTCGTGCAGTGCTGCAGGGGACAGGAACGTGGCACAGCCTGGCACGGCACGGTGCAGCACGGCATGGCACGGGGCAGCCTGGCATGGCACTCACGGCACTTCTTGTGGATGTCTTTGGTGCGCTTGGAGAGGGAGACGATCTCGTGGCGGGTGAACATCCTGGCATGGTGAGTCTCCTCACGGCATGGGGCACAGAGGGGCTGCCCACAGGTGTTGCAGAAGTACATGGTGTCCAGCTCCTGTGTGAGGGGACAGAGCTGGTGGCAGGCATGCCCTGCCAGGGGTCCCCTAGCCACGCTGGCAGCCCAGCCCGCTGCCCTCACCGCCTTGGTGCAGCAGCGGTCGCAGTTGGCACACTGCACGTCCTCCTCGCTGTCGGCCGAGCTGTCCACCAGGAACTGCAGCAGCCGGTCCACGGGGGGCAGCCCCGTGCCTCCCCTCACCACGGAGGGGTGCCTGCCGGGGCGAGATGGGGACAGGGACACCCACTGGGGCAGCTTGGGGCACGCAGGGAGCAGGGCTGTGCTGAGCTGCCAGCCCCGTGCTGTGCCCCAATCCTGGCGTGCCCCGTCCCTTACCCGCAGAGTGGGCAGCGCAGGCGACCGTCGCTGGCACGGCCTCGCAGGCAGCTGGCACAGAAGTTGTGGTAGCAGTCCAGCAGGCAGGGGTGCTGGTAGGGCTCGTGGCAGAGCAGGCACACCAGCGGGTGGCAGTTGGCCTTCTCCAGCTCCGAGCAGCTCCCCAGTGGGGAGAAAATGCCACCCGCCATCTGTGGGGTTGAGAGGCAAGGCTGTGCGCAGGGACCCCATGTGGCACCAGTTTGTGAGAGCACACAAAGGACAAATCCTGTCCCAGGGCCTGTGAGATACTATTTTTAGGTTATGAGCTGCGTGGCACGAGGCTGCTCCCCCTTCCCCTGGTAGCACAGGCTGGGGGCTGCAGCGTGGGGTCGGATGGTCCCCGCAGCGCAGTGTCCCCACGGTGTGTGTCCCCCCAAGCAGGAGCATCCCCTGGGATGGGCTGTCCCCTCCAAAGGAGCATCCCCTGCAGCACAGCATCCCCCAGGACAGGGGTGGGGGTTCCTCCAGGACAGGGTGTTCCCCCAGAGGAATCATTCCCTAGAATGGGGTGTCCCCTGCCCAGGGATGTGCCCTAGGATGGCAGCCTGGCAGTGAGGGCAGCCAGGTGCCCCACATGCCGGGAGTCCCCGTTCTGGGCACAGGTGTGTCCTGGCCAGGTGAAGGCTTTACCTCTCCCTGTCTGTGAGCCGGGGGGGTCCGAGCCGAGCTGTGCTGCTGCTCACCGTGTGCCGGCAGGAACGAGAGCGCTGCCGAGGCGGCACGGCCCGGCCCGGCCGACCCTGTGACGTGGGGCCCCCTGGCACTGCCACGCCACGGCCCAAAAATAGCCCCGTGCGCTGCTCGGGGCCCCGCGGCGGGGCTGGAGGGGACACTGCCAGCCACCCGGGGGACACGGCCACCTGCAGGGGCCGCGCTGGCCCGCGCTGCTGGGTCAGCCCGTGTGCGCGGTGAGGAGCCCCGGGATGCCCGGGAGTCACCCGGTGTGTGCTGAGGAGCCCCGGGGTGCGGGGTCACTCCGTGCACGGTGACGCTCCCGGGGTGCGGGATGTCACTCCATGTACAGTGACGCTCCCGGGGTGCGGGGGTCTCTCGGTGCCCGGTGACGCTCCCGGGGTCTCTCGGTGTCCGGTGTCGCTCCCGTTCCCGCCCACCGCACGCGCCGCTCCCGCGCTCCGGAGGCTCCGCCCCCTCTCCCGGCCCCTCGCGCCTCATTGACCACGCCCCCATAGCCACGCCCCCACCCCAGCCCCCGCGCTCGCCCCGCCCCGCCAGGCATCACTGTCCGCTCGCAGGCTCCCTGCGCGGATGGCACAGGAAGCGATCGAGGCGGTCGGCGCTCGGCTGGCCCGGCCGAGCGCGGTTGTGCGCAGGCGCGCGGGGCGCGCTCCCTTTCTGCCTCGCGCGGAGCCGCCATGGCGCCCGCCTCCTGCAAATGG